CCAATTAGAATACACCATTGGGTGGTGCAATCTACACACTCATTTTTACCTCTCACACAGTATTTGTTAATTTCTACCTGTGATCTTCTTCAACTCTCGACTCGACTGTCAAAAATTAAGAGAAATGTATGGAAGATAAAAAAGGGTGTGTAAATAGCACCACCCTACACAAGGACAAATATGATCCTATGCCAAGGTCCAATGGAATAAGTTATCGAAATTGTCGTATGGGGAGTGATCTAGAAGGTATATCAAGATACAAATTAACCTTTTCTTATTCTTTCTTCATCACATTAATATAAAACAAAGCTTGTCTTTGGGTTGTTTAGATGGTGAGACTAAGTAAGGGGCAAAATGGACATTTGGGGTACAAATAAAGGTTGGAGAGTGAGCTAGCTAGGGTAGTTGTATTGGGAGTGGGAGTGAGGTTTTGCTAAAGGATGCATGTGAGGGGATATGGGCCAGCAAAGCCCTCATCTGAAGGCTGTGACTGAGAGACTAATAGAGAGAGAGAGAGAGAGAGAGAGAGAGAGAGAGAGAGAGCACATGGGAAGCACATGCAGAAGAGGGAGTTTTAGAGTGTTGTTTGGGAGAGGGGTAAGGGCATGTGACAAATGAGAGACAGTGAGGCAGCATGAAATGTACAGCATGTTTTGCACATTCCCTGCATGGAACTGATCAACCGGCAGCAAATGCACCTTTTCTCCTCTCTCTCTCTCTCTCTCTCTCTCTCTCTCTCTCCTTTTTAAAAAACGACCTTAAGCCAATAAGGTTTCATAATTTGCGATAGTCAGGAAAGAAATGTATATCGTGTACAGCTTTATTCTCGTTTTGCAAAAATATTATTTTCACGACTTGAACCCGTAATTTTTTTGTCACAAAAAAAAACAATATTTATGTTGCGCTAATGCTCACCTTCTCCTTTTTTTTCTTTTTGAAAATATAATAATAAAATTACAATGAAATCACGACCGATCCAAAAACCATACAAATTGAAAAATTAGTTATCATGATACTCGTAAAAGTGAACTGATTCGAAACTAAACTACGATCCAGATCAAGTCCTACCAAAATCGGATTTTCTTTTCGTGCGATGTGCCCTTAGAGTTTACTTTGCCCTTATCATATAACTAATTAATGGGTTTACTAATTGGTTCTTGTTATGCACATGCTTGTTTAGACTTGGTTTGATTTAGAAGCCAGTTGATCAATCGGGCACGTATGACATGTGTGTGAGCAGCGACGTCATTCATATAATATACCTTGTCAATTATTTAAAGATAATAAAAGTATCATTCTGTTGAATTTAATATGCTAAACAGAAGATCTTGTTTTCTCATAGGTGGACATTTGTTGAGCGACCCACTGCAAACTTCCAACAAATATTTAACTTTATCCATTTCATGTGAAAACAATTGATGTGTACTACAAGTTCAAAACAATGAAATGAGGTTTAGCCACTATATGTAAACAATATGTATGTATGTATGTATGTATCTTTGCCCTATGAAAAATGTGGAAAGTTAGCAAATTTTTATGAATCACTACCGCAAAATAGAGTACAATGGCAATCTATAATTTATACAGCAAACTCAACTTAATGAGATGAGCCTAGTGATAGGAGATTATCTAGCTTGTGAAGAGGATCAAAACAATTTTGTTGAAAAATCAGTGGCAGGCCTCAGATAAGTTTAAGAACCCAAATGGATCAGGAGGTAGAAGTATTCATGTGTCTGATTTTAGTTTGTTATTGTTGTTGTTGATAATCATTGTTTGATGTTTGAACACAATTTTTATTTATTTATTTTTTATAAATAAATAAGCATAAACTCCTCGTTACATGTAAAAAGTTGAACAATCTTTCACACACTCTTCCACGCTAACAGTTTGTTTTCTTTTTGGTTGTTGTGGGTTAATTAAAGAAAAAAAAAACTTGAGAGAGTAAAAAGTTAACTTTGTTTTGGTCTTTTAAACTTGATGATCATCATGTTCTAACTATTTATATGTCTAAATTAATCACATGAATGATAAATCTAGAATTCAGACATACTTTGAAAGAGAAATGCTAAGGAGACTCTCTTAAAAGTGAGACTTTTCATAGACTCTCTGCATCCTCATGTGTTTGACACAATATTTTAGAACATTGATACGAGAATTGACGTTCAATTGAGAGAGCCCTCTTAGAATTTCTCACTTTGAATATCGCTAGAAAAGAATGAACATATTTATAGGGTTGTGCTCCACACACTCATTTTCACCTCTCACATACTCTCTCAATTTTTGGTAGTCGGATCTAATGAATTGAAAAGATCAATAGACAAAAATTAACAAAGATGCGTATGAAGTAAAAAAAAGTGTGCAAAAAGCACTGTATATATGTACTTGTGTGAGGGACAGGATGATTATGCTGATGATGAAATGCAATAAAAATTAATTGTTTCAGATACAAAGCAAATTATATCAAGATGTGATGTAACATCTTTTTTCTTCTAGTTTATGATCACCTGCACTTTCTCTGTTAGAAAGGAGAGGAGAGGAGAGCTGAGTGAGTACTACTGCTCATGAGCTAGTAAGCTGCAGCAGCAACTGCGAAGGGGGGGAGAGAGAGAGATGCAGTATCATGCGAAGCTAGCTAGGGTTTAAGTTGTTCACTTCGTTCCCCTTGTTTTCGGGTCCGCAGTGGCTGCCATGATCGAACATGGCTCAGTCACTCGACGCTCTTTTGGCTGCAACCCCACTTGTTTTGTCTAGTCTCAACCAAGCTTGCCCTACTATGCTTCATTGCCTTCTCCTTTTTCCTCTCCTCTCTAATTTTTTCCATTTATACACTCCTTATATGTATATGCTCAACTAAAATTAATCATTGTTGGCACCTAATCCATAACCGACAAGTGTGGTTTATTGTTATGTTATACCGTATAAAATTTGAACGCTCTAATTTATAGAGAGAATAATTTGAACTTAAGTACAAAACGATGATATAGTATCCTACTGAATTGACTTAACCATCTCGACCTCAATTCTAGTGGCTCTACCAAATACGACATCATTTCCGTCCTTAAATCATCTCCTACCCTAGCGGTGGTGGTGAAATTATCCCGCGCACAACCCTAAATACAAAGTTCATACTGCAGAGCAATCAAAAATCAGAAATATTGCCACTTAGTACTGCGGTATTGTGATATTTCTCTTTACTTGTAAGTGAGAAGTCTTAGGTTATATTCTCGTTAAAGGCGAATTTGAACCATATTATTACTAGCCAATTGTGAAGCTAAGCCCAACCCCTCCTCCCTCGTGTAGATAATATAGGTTGTTAAAAAAATATTTCTATTGGGGATTTTGTCTTTTATTGGACATTGGATGAAACCAACGGCAAAGATTGGACCTGGATTAGTACTGGTTTGGTACTGAGATGCTTTTATAAAAAGTGGGTATAAAAAAAAAAAACTGAGCTCAAAAAGGTGTTTGGTAAACACTTAAAAGCAGCTTATTTTCATAGTTTTGAGTGAAAAAATAACTGAAAATATGAAGCAGCAAAAATGAGCTTATTCTCACGGCATAACAGAAGTAATTTTTTTTAAAGCGCAGCAAGTCCACAAGTCCGCGAAGGTTTTTTTATATGTCCAAAGCTTTTACTAAGCCGATATAAAAGCTTTGGACATGGAGTCTCAAGACAAAATTGGACCCGTGTTCTCCACGAAATGCCCTGAACCTGTCAAATATAATAAACTCCTCAAACCAAATAATAATATTTGTTTTGTCGGTTGGAACGAATTTTGGGTAAAAACAATTCGATCGCGTTATTTGTAGGACACTTGACGTAAAAATACAAGACTTTTAATATTCTTTTTAAGAGAAAATTGAAATCTCCATTCATCTTTCACATTCTTTTTACTAATTTCTCTACACACACGCTTATACACATGTGAAAAGTTTTTTTCAATCACATACCCACTCCATGTCTCCACATTTTTTATGCTAATACGTCCAAAAGTGAAACAGTAAATTTAGTGCAGAACGCATGTCAAAAAATACAAATACATGCTTGCATTGGATTGTTTATCTTCAAACACATGTCCTAAATCTTTGGGGTGAAAAATTTAGAAATTATAGAAATGACATATTTTATAATTTTTGTATAAAAAGAAAGTTAGTTATAATACACGTGGCATCAAAATTGAAAGAGAAAAACTCAATCATTTCCAAATATGTGTACATATTTAGTCTAAAAAATTCAAAAGCGTTTTTATCAAAATGACCATCTCCAAAGAAAATGTCAAATTAAAATTAATAATTGATGTGGTAATCTAAAACCTTATATCAAATTTTGTACTTCTCCAACCGAATTGTCAAATATTATTTTATTATTTAAATAGAGCTTTAAATGATTGTAATTATTAAAAAATATTGAAACAAAATTTTTATTAGTTGAAATGTTAGTAGAATAAGGGACCCACTGTTAAAATGAATTAAAAATAATTTTGACATTAAATCATTAAACCTTCAAATCCAGTTAGCAAATAATATTTCGGTTGGAAGACTTTTGATATCAAACATGTACAGTGGCATTCCATCTAGGATTTTAACATCTCATTTGAAGATCCTCTAAAAGAGTTGAGTGTGGAAGAGAAGTTAGCTAAAAAGTCTCACTTACCAGACTCGAAACCACATGTGTTATAGTTCCACTTAATTTCACATTGATTCTACCAAATTCACCTGAATAATGCAACCCGATCAAAGTTTCTCACCTTGCTTCCAGCATCACAGAAGATTTCGTTTGTCCAATAAAAAAGATTTTTCAGTATGTCGAAAATAAATAAAACGTATGTTATATGTTATTATACAAATAGAAAGACATTTAAAAAAAGATTTGTCTACATCTATAAAATAACAGGTAACGTAACTCTCCCGTATTCTGAAATTAGTAATTTTCTTCGTTTGTTGGCCCACCGGCGACCACCAAACTAATAAACAATTTTACAAAAGTCCCTGATTGCGATTGTACTGTTTTTTGTTTTTATGTTAATTTGCTGCTTACTTTTCTTTCTTTGCCCCCAGACTCTGCCTGAAGTCTAATATCCCACTTCCCTCCGTCATCTGCTTCCAAAGCTTCCAACAACATTCCCGGGTTTTACCCATTCCGCCAACAAATTAGGTACGAATGCAAATAAGCCTCCATTTTTTTAATTCAATTTTTTGTCCATTTTCTTCGACTGTGTGATCTAGGTTTTTGATTCCCATCAATTTTTGATTTGGGGGTTTTTTGCAGTATAAATTTTGTATGTCATTTTCTTAATTTTCTGTTGATATGACTCTTAATCTGATCTAATCAAGTGATAGAAATATGTGTTTGTTATCTGTGTGAGGGCGAGTATTGGCGCAACGGAAATGTTGCTCCTTTGTGATTGTGTCGTGAAAATAGTCTTTTTTCAAAACAAGAATAATGCTGCTTAGATAGATGTTTCCTCCGATCCTCGCAAAGCGGGGAGCCTTGTTGGCTTGGGTCGCCTTTTTATCTGTGTGTGTATGCATCTGTATTGATAATACGCCCTGTGTTTTGTACTTGCATCTGTAAAATGCACGTAGTTAGGCATTCAAGTTTAGGAAGAATTCGGTGGTTGTTCGGCATGAAAATTAGCTATTTGGTTGAAACTTGGAAGTGCATTAAGGTTTATGAAAGTGCATTTACTTATTGAATTAGACCGTCCATCCCGATGATCAATCCAATGCGAGGTTTTTATCGAGTTGAAGACATAATGCGATGTTCACTTCTTCTCGGGGCTACCTGTTATAGGGAACAAATTCTTGTGATTCGTCTAACACAGATGTTATTTTGTTTAGAAGGACACTACTTAGTCATTCGTTATATCTGAACTGAATTTGATATGATCTTTTGCATTTTTCTCATTAAGCTAAGTGTGTGGTAATCTTAACAAAAAATGATGAGTGTATATTTTATGAATTTTGGATTTTATCCTTTTTTTCCACAGGGTTTTCTATCTGCCCTCATCTCTGCTGATTTTAGTACTCCAATGTAGTGATAGCCACCGCAGTGGCAGATTCTTTTCATGAATTGGTTGTGAGTTGAAAATGGTGAATGAAGAAATCCTGAAGGCGGTTTTCCCTTTACTGGAGGGTGTGGACCTTGCTTCTTGTATGGGAGTGTGCAAGCGGTGGAGACAGATAGCTCGAGATGATTTCTTTTGGAAGCGTCTATGCGCCAAGAGATGGCCCTCTACCTGCAAGCGACCTAACCCTCCCACTCTAACCTATTGCAAGCTGTATCAAAACTTTTATAAGCGCCACCACCGTCGAACTCTTCTTCCACCAAGACTTTCCTTTGATGACTTGGAATTTTTCATTGATATATGGACTGAAGATCGATTTCTCTTTTCTGAAGTGATCCCTGGCCCCGTTCTACAGAAAGGTACCAAAATCCCACCACCAGGAGTATGTGACATGCTTAGATATCACCTGGAGGGTGCTGAGTACAAGATGAAACTCCCTGTTGAACCAAGGTTTGCGGTTCCTCTGACCCAGACCGTGAGTGTTTCAGTGCTTGTGGAGCGCAAGGATTCTAACAGGGTTGCACGTATAATTGATAATTCTATGTTTGACTACATTGATCGAACAGCATCTAGAGCCATGGCAAATGAATACCTAGACTTCTCAGCGGTCTACCCTTTCACTTCGGGTATCCGGGCATGGATCTCTTTGCTTTTCATGGACAACGGAGATGAAGGAGTTATTGATGTTTTTGGGATTGAAATGGATTTCATGGATGCTGCAAACTCGAAGGAAGAGGTTTTGTGGCTATTAGACATGCTTGATTGGAAGTGAAGGTTTCACTTGCAAGGCCATTCAGATAATAAAGAGCGACCGAATTGGATGCAACAATGATGCTTTTGTCTTCCACGGTTTAGTTGACATGCAGAGTCTGCATATGGAAGAAAACAGCGCAACGCTGTCATGTTCAGCGTAAACACTTTGCTTCAGCGGTATCACTTTCTTTCATGTGTTGCATATTCGAAATTTTGAAGTTTGTACATGCTTGTTTTCTTCATTACTGCGAATAAATTACGAACCTTCATCTTTGCTCCGTATTGAAGTGTATTGATTTTGTGTTCATTCTATTTGATCTGGGAAAATTGAAACTTACAATCTCCCCGTTGAGAGGTGGTACAAATGCGGTATGGAAAATATGGTACGAGTAGCGTTTTTTATCTAGAAATTTGTTCTCCCAACAGAGGTTTGACCAAACTGCCAATTTGCTGGTGCGACACCAGCCAACTCTATTGTTTTCCCATCACTCGTAGTGACTATGATTGACAAGCTTTGCCCTACAAGTTGGTTTCCCGTCGCCACCCAAACTTGCCCCCAGTTTCTTGACGTTTGAATCCATTTAGTGCTATCCCTTTAATTCTGACGTTCGTAACATCGCTAGCACCGCCAATATTGAACGCTGTCGCTGTAACCCGCCAGGGGTTGCCCCTCGAACTTAACCCCTCCACTCTTCCGGCACGAGACTCTCCGGTACTTAACTGGATTGATACCGGCTTTTGACGGTGCGAGTTTTGCGAGCATAGCCTGTACTGGTCGAAGTGCTTTTGGGGTGGATTGCACCAGTGATCAGGAGCCGGAGCCCAATTTGGTGGACAAATGTTGGTTACGGTAATTGTGATGGCCCTGACGTGAGGGTTGCACCATTGGGGATCATGGATGCACCCGAGCCGGAAACAAGCACCTAAAGTACCCCCATCGTTGATGAGGGCCGTGCTTAGCGCTGCTGTCTAGAGGCCATAGCCTTGTTCATGGAGATTACCATATCCACAAGCCCCCTCTATTCAACAAATCACAAAGTTAAAACCTAATCAAATTTTAGTTAACAGAAAACAAAACAAACCATACATGATCGGCGCAAACAAAAGATTTTCACTTACGCATGGTTTCTCCTCCACTCATGTCACCGTAAAACGTTGCATGTGCGTCTTGCCAAACATTGTCGTCTCTTCCGCCGGTCGGGATTATAAAGCCCATGGCTTGAACCAAAAGAGTGATCAACTATCTTTGTTGGGACCCATGTCAACCTTCTCCAAAATTTTGTACTTTCAAGTATGATAAAATAAGAGTTTTAGTGTTAAATCTTGATGATGGAATTTTTAATCAAGAGTTTAACGGTGAAAATTTTCAGTCTATGATACACTGAGGCATACAAAAGTATATTAGTCTTGAATACCACTTTTTGCTTATTAAAATTATAGTTGAAGCAAACCTATTAAATGTTTATTCTCCTCACTTGTTAAAGTGCATGTAAATAATTGGATTTACTTAATAAAAACGATACAGTCAGTCACTTACACATGTTTGAACTAACAATTTTTAATTATTGTGCATACTATAACTAAAAGAGATTCTTAAGTTCGTCCGCGCAAACCATCTTTGTTGGCGTCAAAATTAAACATAATCCTTAATGATGTCGACGGGTTATCGATTTACAAAAAAAGATATCTTTTTTTTTTTCTAAGGTATGACGAATGCTGGCGGGTGGACCCAAGAATTTCTCTGAATTCAGCCATGTTACCACTTCAAACAAAAATCTACTAATCATTTACAGTTCAAGTTCTCAATCTTCTTATTCCGGCGAGGAAGCGGAAAAGACCGAAAAGGACGACACACATTATTTGTGCTGTTGACCTTCACAACACCAGCCCAAGACTAATTCCGTAATTTCGGACCTCGACCTTTTTCCAAAATCTGCGCCCGGCAAAATCCTCCGTCGAATAAAATTCCAAAACCATCCTTCCCAACGAAGCTAACTCACGAGTCGTCAGCAGGAAGCTTTGATAGTTCGTACAGTGCCCCGAGGGCATTTTCGTAACTCCGGCAGTAAGACTCCGTTCGCAGTCGCACATCCAAAATCCCCAGAATTTAGTTCCTCCACCGCACTTTTCCCCGCCATTTGCTTCCTCCAAATTCTCCTTCCCAAAATCTAGGGCTCCGTCCTCGTCACTCTCTGCAACCGAAACCCTAATTCTCTCCGAAATCCCCCCTTGATTCTGCATAATTACGACCCCTGCCACTCCGCCGCTTCATCATTCTCCCTTCATGCCCTTGCGGCGCCGATTGCGAACTCACCGGTGGAGCAATCGATGAGTTATCCGGCAGCCACTTCAAGCTCGAGCTTCGGCTCGGCTCACGGAGGTATCAGCCTCTCGAACACGGTGCACTCGGAGGTCGCGCCTTGCTTGCCTCTGCCGTCGCTGCCGGTGTTCTGCGGGGCATCTGATCACCTCCGGCTGTTCGACGAGCCGAGTCGGAACAGTGCGTGGCTGAACCGCCCTGACGCAGCTGTTGCGAGTAGGATTGCTGATCTGCTTCGAGAAACCGACGTGTCGTACTTGTAAGTACTTTTCTGTGTTCTGCGCCAGCAATTTCATTTCCAGGTTTAAATTTGAAATTTGATTGTTAGAAATGCGCGATGTTGCATTTGAATTGTGATTTTTGCTTATTTTTTTTAATTTACAATTTGAAATTTGACGTATTTGATTGTTGCCATGTTCTGCTGCATGTGAATTTTGAATTTTGCCGTTTCTTATGATGGGGTTTGGTTTTGTTTGTTTAAATTTTAAGTAATTTGGAGAAAAATGTAATGGTTATTGATGGGAATTAGCTCCCTCCCTCCCTCTCTCTAGCACCCCATGCACCTCGAACCACCCACCCCCCCCCCCCCCCCCCCCCCAACTTTTAGCTGAACTGACAGGCAGCTCAATGTGTTTGAACTAATGCGATGGGGTTGTGAAATGTGAATTCGGAGGCAACTTTTCAATAAGTAATTTGGAACAGAGCAGCCACCTGATTCGTTGTACCGTATATTAAATTGTATCCCAGGATCTTATTTTTTACTAAAAATGCGACGGACTAGGGGAACTGTGCTGATACAAAATTTCTATTAGTTACATTGTTTAGATTTGTTTTGAATTTCGGTGCTCATATATGGTTTCATGCACAGGAACCTTAGGGAGGATGCTAGGGCAGTTCCATATGGTTATGGAGAATCTTTAAAACTTCACGATGAAGTTCTTCAGTACAATCCAGAAGCATTTGAGTACAATAGTCCAGGTAAACCAAGTATTTCGTCTCTCCTTACCTGCTTTTATGCTTCAACTTTTTCTTTAGATTTTTTTTGGTTTCCTACTTATTACGTAGGGTTTCTGTATAGCTGTTTCAGCTATAACTGCACATTGCAACAGCCATGTTTTCATCATATAACCAATAAGCCTTTACATAGGTTATAACATGATTGAGTAATGCAATCACATCTCTCAGGTGCAAGAAGTTTTGGTCATAATATAGACTTGGTTAATGATTATGCAGATTTTATACTAATGAAGATCAGAATAATATTAATTCATTGATAAAGATACTGAAAATAATTAATAAAACTAAATATAATATGTCTAGGAATGAGAAAAACATATATTTTTTCATACGAGTGAAGATATTGATTAGATATGATAAAATAATAATAAAAATATTTTCTTTTGGTTTCACAGCACAAGTTGCAGAAGTTAAAGAGTGCTAGTTGATATTTTTTACACTTATTAGACAGAGTAGCTTCATTTAAGCTCAAAAAATTTATTTCTTTTTAGATGATGCACTTTTACTTCATTGTTGAAAGGATACAGTGCAAATTTCCAAGATCTCTCTTAGTCTTTGTATATATTACATGCACAGTAAATAAATGCCTCTAGATATTACACACACTACTTAGTTCCTTAGAAGAATTAGTTGTAGTTTAAAGTGTTTGTTCTTGTATAAATTTATATTTCTGTGCTTATTGTTTCTTGCACTGTTCAAGTTTCGCAGGTCCTATTAAGGGGCAAGTGCCTGTCAGTAGTACAATATCTGACAAGAAGCCCTTCAAGCCTATTGTACCTATACCAAAGCTTTCTCAAAGGGACTATTCTGTATCTGACAATAATCAGCTCAATGATATTCCTCCTAATGTATGTGTGCATCTATTTGGCAGTTAATAATTTTGCCCCCTCCTTGTTTAATAATCTAGATGGTGAAATGGCAGGACATATCTCCACCATCTTCTAGAAAACCAAAATCCAAGAAAAAAGCTAGTGATACCGTTACGTCAACAGTCGGACCAGATTCTGCTGAAATTCAAGGTTCGTGGGCTTTAGAACTCTCTCTTCCTCTTAAACATACATTCTTCTTTTCAATATTCATGTGAGTGACCTATCTTCAAAAATCATGTTTAGATGCCACCATCAGAAGCTTTTGTGAGTTGGTGGAGGATTTCTGTGGCAGAGCTGAAATTTTCAGTGATGACCGGGAAGAAACTGAGTGGTTATCTATGCCTCTTTCTGATCTTAGAGTGCTTGCAAATGAAATAATGTCTCTTCGAGCAAAGAAGCTTCTACATTTGGTTCCTGTAGATACTTTTGTTAGATTGTTAAGGATTTTAGATCATCAGATACATCGGGCTGAAGGCTTGACTATAATTGAATATGAGCAGGTGAGCTTGTTTTCTGTTCTGCTTTCTTTCTTGCATTTAGCGGGTCTGTTGTGGTAATTTCAAGTTTGCTTCTTAAATTACATTTCTTCAGGCTTTATTGTTAGCTTCTTGCTTTTGTGCAGTGTTTAATTTTTCCATACTCTTTTTCTTATCTTGTTTTTAATCTTCAAGCTAGTAAAGAATGGTGTTACTGCAGCACCTTGCAATATTTTGAAAGTTTTGAATTTCTTCTTATAATCGTCTTTGCTATCTGAATCACTTTTATCCTGACCCTATGTTTGCCTAGTTATGACCATGTTTGGGATGAAATTTTTTTAGTTTTGGGGGCCGCGCCGTAGGGGGGTGGGGTGAGGTTTGAAATAAAATAAATGTTTTATTAGCAAAATAAGGCATTGAGCATCTTCTTATCAAAAAGATAATGCATCAAGCATCTGGAGCCTTTGGAGGAGACTGTTTGTTATGTATAAATTTGATTGGATGGCATTAGCAACTGCAGAGAGCAATGATAAAAGTTTGGGGGAATGATAAATGGTCAGGAATAGTGATGGGAATAATCAGGAAAGAGAGGAAGGAAGA